TTAGAAAACCTGTTTTTTTCTCCTCCGATGAGCTGGTTGACGTTTTCGCTGTCGCCAATGGAGATGTTGAGGTCGTCTGATCAGTCACAGTTCCTGTCCTACGATGCTTTTTCCGCCGCCTCTCCTCACCGTCTCTTCGATAATTTCTATGGTAAAAATTTACTCTCTCTCTCTGTGTTTTGGTTGCTGATAAGCGAGAAGAAGGTTTTTCCTGGTGCGAAGAAATTAGGATGATTACGATCGTTTCGTACATCGGTTAGAGGCTAAGGCGAGTTGCTTCTATATGCGTTTGTATGTGTGTAAGTAGAGTCGTATGCTGCATATGCTGGTAACCGACTCTGCAGCTTATCCCTAACCGAGTGCTGAATCACTAAAAAACTAAGGCAATGAATGAAGAGAGCTTTTTTTTTAGATTTTAAAAATTCAAAAAATTGTAAATCAAGTTTTTTAAATTTGGTTTTTCTAAAAACTAAGAAAACTATTTTATGAAAAAAAAATGAACTAAAAACTAAAAGTTACATTTTTTTGGATTTACAAATCTATAAAAACCAAAAGCCAAAAACCAAAAACTAAAAGCTTTGAATGGTAGTGGCTTTTATTTTGGGTTTTTTACTTTAGTTTTTGGTTTTTAGTTTTTAGTTTTTGGTTTTTGGCTTTTGGATTTTATAAGTTGGTAAATCTAAAAAATTGTAACTTTTGGTTTTTAGTTGATCTTTTTTCATAAAGTAGATTTTTCGGGTTTTTAGGAAAACCAAAATTTTAAAAACTTGATTGTTGGTTTTTTCAGTTTTTAAAATTCAAAAACTTCGAAAACCACCTGTCATTCAACACCAAAATCTAAAATCTAAAAACCAAAAACCAAATCCAAAAACTCAAAATAAAAACCTCGTCCATTCAACACCTAAAAATTATTTTCGATCGATTGAACGGTAATCAGTTTAGTAAAAAAAATAAAATATATCTGTTTTTTCCTTATTTCTCTCTCCACCCTGACATTTAGAAACCCGAACTCTTATTTCTCTGTCCAATTATTATTCTTCGACATCTTATTCGACATTATCATCTCTGTTCGTCTTCGTTTTTTCCAAATCTAATTGTTTAATCTTAGCCAAAATTAATGGGTACTATTTCTTCGTCGCATTTCTTCGGTCATTCTCCAATTCTGCAGAATTTCAAATAAGATCCTAACCAGAACCAGTAACAACAACAGAAAACAAGCATTTTGCAGAAGAATAAGAAAACAAACATTCGTAAGAAGAATAAAAAAATCCAGAATTTCAAAACAATTGAACAAAAAAAAAAAAGAGGGATCCATTTTGCTAGTTATATAAGAAAAGAGAGTCAAACCTCAAATTGATGTTGGAAACGATGAAGATAGAGTTTTAACAACAACAAAAAAGATGAAGATGGAGAAAAACAGTAGAGAAATCAAGATTAGTGTATCTAAGTATCGGAATCGAGCATTTATAAAAAAAAAATGTATCGCGATCGAGAGGTCAATAGAGATGTTCTTTTTACTAGTCGAATGTATAACCGGTTGAAAATAATTTTCAATTTTTGCTGACGTGGCATATATGTATGACATGGCAGTTTATACGTAACGACACATCATCTTCTCTTAACGGCGTTTTCATTCAAAGTTAGTCAATAATTTTTTTTGGCAACTTTTGACAAGTTGAGATATTTTTATGTGAAATTTATCAAGTTGATTATTTATTATGGGAGTATACAAATTCAGGAATTAATTTTCCAGATTTAACAAGTTTGGGAATTTTTATGGGATTAACCCTTTGATAATATACTAATTATAATCACTGCTACTTTTGTTTCATCTTAATTACCGATTATTGTAATTGTTCACGGGAATAATGATTCTCAAAAAAAAAAAATACTTGTATTATAAAGTGCACATAATCTAAATTAGATGAAGGGTGCGGGTGCGGGTGATGATGGGAAGAGTGACAGACTTGTCCTCCGGTTTTCATCTAACCCCCTTCCTATTTCCCTCGCATTTATTATTCTTTGCCCTTTCCCCCCCAAATATTTTCTTATTTCCCGTTTTATCCTTTAGTTTCTTTTTTTTTCCTTATTTTCTATTGTCCAATTATTTTCAACAGATGCCACCCAAAAAAATTTGTTGACTCAACTAAGAAAACGATACTATTGTCTTAAAATGTGATATTGCTTTGATTATTTGATTTAATATTATATCCACTAATTATGATTTAATTAAAAGTTCAAAACTTATTAATGATATATAAACTTCGAATCATATATTTTCTAAAAACATTCTATAAAAATTTCAAAATATATATGTTCCATCAATCAAATATTAAAAGAAACACAAAACATACGCATGTTATTTTTGGCCCTACATAAAGCAAGGACAAAACAGTCATTTCAAACGTTTCGGGAAAACCGCTACCCCTTTTAGCTTCTTCCCAAACCGGAAACCTGAAACCGTGTTACCCGTAACAACGACATGTATTTATTATTTTCCACAGATCGGACGATCCAGATTATCTGTCACGGGTTCATTCTCCACCGTCTGATCGTCCTCCCCCTTTCGCATACTCTTTCGCTCAAAAGCCCATGCTTTTTTGTTTAATTTCGTAATTGCCACTCGTTCCTTTTTTTTTCTTCCTCCCCATTTCCTCGTCTCAGCTTCTCCTGACGTTTAATTTCTTCCCTTCTTCTTCTTCTTCTTCTTCTTCTTCTCGGTGATTTGAGTTTTGTTTGTTTTCTGCTTCATGGAAGGACCTTGAGTTCTGTTCCGCTTTTTCACTCCATGCATTTCTGGTCTTGATTCTTCATTCCGTTTCTCTCTGTTACTGGTTTGATCCTCAGCTGTTCTGTTCGATTCCCAGGTACGAGGTTTTTGTACGTTTGTCGTGGATTCTTCTTCTAAATCTCCAAACTGGTCTACTTTTGCTCCTCTTTTTTGTCAGTTTTGTTTTTCCGGAAAGGGTTTCTTGTAGCTATAGTTATCTTGCTTTAGCTTTTGAAATCGACCTGTTTGGCTTCCGAGAAAATGCGGTGGAGTTCTTAGCAAAAGGATCACTCTTCTATGCTTGTTGTTCCTTCGAAAGTTGACAAAGTGGGAAAGGTTACTCATGGAACGAAAAGCTGGATTAGGATGATGAAACTTTGGTTAAAAATCTTCTAAAGTTAACTCCTTTCTGAAAAGTTTAGGCGAAATTTGAGCTACACAATTCAAATGCTATATCAGTTTTCGCTGCAAAACCCTAATTTTGTTTCTGGATTTTTCTCTTAGCTGATGAATCGATGATTTCTTTATTTAGCTTGGCGTCCTTGTGTTACACCTACGAGGAAGTAACTCAGAATCTATTTCTAGAAAGATTTTAACTTTGGAAAAATAAAGCAAGGGAATAGAAGTCGACCTCGAAGAAAGGAAACAAAGATTCAGTATAGTTGGATAACCTATGTATAGGCGGATTGGCAACGGGGATTGGTACTGGTCGAACACTGAGGATGTTATAGATTTAGTTTAACCATTCTCCTGATATTTTCATTGATTTGGATTGCTGCATTATTAAGCAGACAAACAAGTGGCTTAAGTTTCGAGGAAAATCGCTCTGATGTCTCCACCACTGCTTAGTGTGGATAAGGAAGTGGCTTCAATGCCCAGCAGCCATATTCCTCAGAGGGCCTTGTCTTTGTAAGAACGCAACTAACTGG